CGTCTTCCTCGTCATTATCCCATGGCTCCTTTTCCAGATTGGCAACCGCCTCCTCTAACTTTCTTGTGAGTTCCAACTCCTTTTTGCGTTTTTCGTCATCGTTTCTTTTCTTATTCAACCCAAGAAAAGATTCCATCCCATTTTTCAGCTGCGCCTGGGTGTGGCTATATCCAATCAGCTGCGTCGCCAATCCAACCCCCAGCTGCTTTCGGGCTGCGGCTTCCTTTGCTTCTTTCTCCGTGCGCTTCTTTTTCGCGGCTTTACGGCGCTCTTCGGCCTCTCGCGCATATGTGGCCCGCTTGTTCAACTCCAACTCGCGCTCCAGCTGCTTCCTTTGCCGCTCACTGAGAACCGGGCCATTTTTTTTGTGCTGCCGCTTGACTTCGGTCGAGGTTTGCGCGATCCTGTGCGGGGTTGGTGTCATTGTGGGGTGCGCATCGCGTTGATGAGGGGGATGTGGGCAAGGGTATGGGGAGTGTGGCGGTGGATGTTGTGCATAGCCGCGCTAGCGACACGAAGTCACGTGCATCACCTATGGCCATACCAGCAACCAACAACCCCTTTTTGTGATCTTCCAAAGCAGTTTCAGACGGGGGATTCTAATGGAACACTAAAACAAGGCTTGACCAAAAATCTTCGCACAGTACTGAAATTACTATGTACGCGAAACTGCTGCGTCACACCACTGCGTGGTAGACATGGCCAACTTCAATTTATCCTGATAGATCGCCGCTTTCAAACCTACGTGGCATTGGTAATCGTCTTACTCCATCTACAATGAAATAAACAGCATACGTGCAGCGGACTAGGTTCATTCAGGCCCACGATCATCGGGAAAAGATCATCCGACCTTCCCCAATGCCCATCTACCCCGCGAGAGCGGCATCACCCGGCATCGCGCCTTACCCTCTAGAGATGCGGACATATGAACAACTTCCCGAGTTGCAGCTTGTACGATGCTAGTTCTAATCAACTAGCGGGGATGTAGTGAAGACAGCTGGTGAAACGGTTGCTTGTACACATAGTACTGGAATTCGATACCTGTACAAAAGCGCGTAATTTGCAACTTTACACTAATCCTGTTGCCATGTCATTCGTCTTGAAGGGAGTCGCATACATTACTGGTGCTGGCTCTGGTATGTCCAACAGACTGATACGTCGGACCTCGTAGTTCTTGTGGCTAACACGATCAAGGCATCGGACAGCACACTGCATATGCTCTTGCAAGGCAGGGAGTGCGCTCATTCGCCCTCGTCGATCGCAACCCCGTATCAAAGACAGTCAGCGAACTAAACAAAATATCGCCTGATGTCTTGGTCAAAGAGTTCGAGTTAGACGTTACCGATGAAAAGGCTGTTGATGATAGCATAGAAAAGACCGTCAAAGAATTCGGTAGATTGGACTACGCGATCAATAATGCGGGCATCGGTGGCATGATCAAGACGTCGGATCAGATACCAAGGGACGACTTTGAGAAGATTGTGTCTGTCAATACAATTGCTGTCTGGCAATGTCAGCGCGCCCAGATCCGGCAGATGTTGAAGCAAGACAAATTATTGGACTCTTATCGCTCCTATCGGGGGTCCATCGTTAACGTAGCGTCCATGTATGGTGTGGTAGCACCGCCGCTTAATGTCCCGGCTACAGCATACGCTACAAGCAAACATGCAGTTGTCGGCCTTACCAAAGCTGATGCGCTCGCCTTCGCCCACAAAGGCATCAGAATCAATGCCATATCTCCTGGCTACGTATTAACACCGCTGGTCCGTGAAACCATGAGTAAAGGCGACATGATAGAGCAAGAGAGGTTGAAGGTCCCAATTCACCGCTATTCAGAGATGGAAGAGATTGGCGATTGCATTGCGTTTCTGCATTCCGATGCGGCTAGTTACATTATTGGGGCCAATTTGGTTGCAGACGGTGGATACACAGTCTCATAAAGACCGGAGCAAGTGCATTCATCCAGTCCTTGGCCGACCATTCAATACATTATTATATCTTCTGCATATGTACGAAAAGTGTTTGCCAACAACGTTCACCAAAGTCGGGGTCATCTCGGCAGACTTGTTTTCTCCACCCCAACTGTAACTGCTAGCTCCATCTCACTTGGAGATTTACATTTGCCACTACACTCCAACAAATCTATCGTGCTGCCTATCCAGGGCTCGCATGAATCGCCCACTGATATCCGGTCCAACTTTCAAGGGTCAGTTTTCGAGTTGCCGTGTCATGTAATGATTACCTAGCTACGGAAATCGTTTGCCACGTCATGCTACAGGGAGTCACTTGCATCTTTTCTCCTTATTACGAGTCATCCACACTAAATGATTCCCCGGTATGAATTTGAACGCACTTAGCCGAACCCCAGATTTTGACGCATGACTAGCCTGACTCGGATTGTGGAGCGATCGATCGCATGTCTGACTCTTTGAGAGCAGGGCGTTGTAGTCCTGTCACAACAATAGAATTTAAGAACCTGTATATCTCTGGTCAAAGCCGTTGATTATCCTGTCTTCCCTCAAAGCTCCTTTGTCGAGTCACATAACATCTTGACACAATGGCAGACGGATTTATCATCCCATCATCAGCCAGTCCAGAATCGGATGCTCGACATCGATTACAAGGACCAATTCACGCGCAACGCCATGTCCGGGTCATATGTATCGGTGCTGGTGCTTCAGGTCTCCTGATGGCATACAAGCTGCAAAGACATTTTTCCAACTACAGTCTTCAGGTCTACGAGAAAAATCCTGAAGTGTCGGGCACTTGGTATGAAAACCAATATCCGGGGTAAGTACCGGCTAAGATCTTGGGGTGCGGGGACAATGCTACTCTGGCCCCACAACTCGCCCTTCTAACCTATCTATGGAAAATCAAGGCGATTACTAATTTTCAATCGCAGATGTGCATGCGATGTGCCTTCTCACAACTATACGTGGTCTTTCTTTCCGAAGCTTGACTGGTCGGCTGTCTACGCCAGTTCCAAAGAGATATACACATACTTCAACGACTTTGCATCAAAGTTCGGACTCCATAAATATGTCAAGACCCAACACCAGGTTATTGGTGCACAATGGAACCAGCAAAAAGGAGGCTACAATGTGCAAATCAAAGACCTCGAGACTGACAGAATAGTGGATGACCATTGTGATATCTTAGTGAATGCTGGAGGCATTCTGAACAACTGGCAATGGCCCGCTATACCAGGTCTGGAAAAATACAAAGGCACACTACTTCACACTGCAAATTGGGATGAGAGTATTGACCTGAGAGGCAAGAACGTTGGTCTTATTGGAAATGGGTGAGTCTTCTGTACTTTCCAATAACTAGCATACGCTAACCCCACCAAAGCTCTTCCGGCATCCAAGTTCTTCCAACAATCCAACCATATGTAAAGAAAGTGATAACATTCATTCGAGAGCCGGCTTGGGTTTCTCCTGTTCAGGGTCTTGAGCAACATGTCTTCTCTGAAAGTGAAAAGCTAGCATTTGCTACACAACCCGGGGTCTTGCGCGATTACCGCAAAGATATTGAGCGAGGCCTCAATGGCCAATTTGGCGTCTTCCTCAAAAACACAAACATACACAATGAAACCGAAGCTTATTTCCGGGAGCAAATGTCGGAAAAGCTAAAAGATGAATACCTTAGGAAGCGCCTCATTCCAGATTGGCAAGCCGGCTGCAGACGATTAACACCTGGTGTTGGCTACCTCGAAGCCCTGGGCAAGCCAAATGTACAAACCGTATACGGCGAGATCAACTCAATAACTGAGCGTGGCTGTCTCTGCGACGACGGCAACGAGTACCCCGTCGACGTCCTCATCTGCGCTACCGGCTTCAACACATCCTTCAAACCACGCTTCCCCATCATAAACTCCTCAGGAACCAATCTCCAAGACGCCTGGACCAAAGAACCACGCTCCTACTTCGGCCTCGCCGCCGCCGACTTCCCCAACTACCTCGTCTTCCTCGGCCCCAACTGCCCCATTGGCAACGGACCCGTCTTGAGTGCCATCGAAGCCCAAGCCGACTACATGTGCAAGCTCATCGACCGCTTCCAAACCCACAACATATCGTCATTCGCACCAAAAGCAGAAGCAATCGACGATTTCATCGCCTTCAAAGACGAATTCATGAAGAAGACAGTATGGAACGATCCCTGCCGCTCATGGTACAAATCCCTCGGCCCCGATGGCCCCGTAACCGCGCTCTGGCCTGGCTCAACACTCCACTACATCGAGGCGCTAATGGAGCTGCGCATGGACGACTGGGACGTCAAGTACACGGGCAATAGGTTTAATTGGCTGGGCAATGGGTATTCGCAGACGGAGATTGATCCGACGGCTGATTGGGCGTTTTATATCCGTGAGCAGGATGATGATGAGCCGATCTCGCGGTTGCGGAAGTTGAGGATTTTGAATAAGAGTGGGACGGTGCAGCCGACTGCTGGGGTTGATTTTACAGGGGCAAGGGCGAAGGAGAGTGCGGTGGCGGTGGAGGCGAAGTTGTGAGGGGTTGGAATGCACGGGTAAAGGAGTAAGTGGGGGTTTGTGCTTGTATAATTTTTGAGTGGGGGGTTAGGAAGTTTTTCGTGGGATTTTGTATCGAGTAGTTGTTCTGAGTGTTTGAGAGGATCTTTTCGGTACGATAAATGGCTCTCGGCAATAAAATAGTTTCATTCACGGTACCTGTCGCTAAGCATCCGATGCTGTGCAGTGTCAATGAGCGTGTATAGTGCTTTCATGGAAATGAGCAGCGCTGGGTAGCAGCTGTACTATCTGGCGCGATCTTAAAAGGTGTAGATAAAAAATATGGATCATATGTGTGATACTTCGTGGTTCCCCAGATGTTTCCAGATATACAATCGATATACCATTGGGCCGTGGACCCCTGAGATAGCCCTATAGAAGAATATCTGCTCGATCCTCCATCGGCATTCAACCCCCGGTAGAACATACCTCATATGCATCAAGAGCGCATGAACAAACAAGCAATCGAATCTTATACAATTAGGCAATCTAGAAAGAGACATTCAAGTCTTCTATCTCTAAACCAAAACCAGCAGCCCCCATCAAACAAAGACAGCTCCAGCAAGTCCATTCTCACCCATTCTTTCCTCCATAATGAAAAAGAAATACAAGAAAGCAAGCACCACCACCCACATCCCACCAACCCACTGCCTCACCGTACCATACAAACGCATATGCGGAAAGTTCGGGTGTCACGTACGAAGCATGTCGCGGATAAGGCGAGGACCCGTCGTCGTCACCGTCGCCGTCTCAATCTTCGCCACGATTTCCATCGTCGGCGTGCTTCTCAAGATGGTAGGCACTGCGGTTAGCATTGGTATGCTTTTATCGGTGATGACACCGGGACGCCGCATGCCTGGGACAACCCGTGCGGCATCGAAGGGTGTGGGCATGACTTCGCCGGGTGGAGACCGCGTAGCGATAATGGTGGGGGTAAAGTCTTTGTCGAGGATAGGGTGGGACTGCCAGAAATTGAGGAAGAAGGGTGGTCGCTTCGCGAAGGTGGTGGGAACAGTGGTTGTAGGTTTCAGTTTCTCGTCTTGAGGGGTTGCAGTGGCTGTGCGAGATGGTTGAGAGGCTGAGGAATTGGCAATGGCGGTTTCCAATGTGGTGTTTTCGATCTTGGTACTTGGGTGTGATGCTATCTGAGGCTCAGAATAAGAGCTGGTAGAGGACACAGGAGGCAGTAAACTTGTCGACTCGTATATGGTCACAGGTACATCCTTCTTCCTCTTCATCAACTGAACCCTTGGCTCTGAGTTCTCAAAGGATCTCCCATTCAGGAAACTGTATGGTACCGTTCCAAACTTTTGAAGCACATTTGTCATGGTCATTATCGCGCTTTGTGCAACTACTTGAATACTACCACCGATAGGCGTTGCAAGCTCCAGGGACTTAATCGACATCTCGGCAAACATTCCGACCATAGCGGTCGCATTCTCGGTCTCGTGCCATTGTGCGAGGTTGATTTTCATGTCTCTGTGCGGCAGTCGTGACAAAGCATTGCAGCTCAGCTTGTTGAATTCCCTGAGTGATTTCGACGCGTTAGGCTGGTGAGCTGCAATCGAGGTAAACTGCGTTTGTTGAGACGTAAAGTCGCTCAAGAGACGCCCATAAGTTCTTTCCAGGTTTTGGGAGCGGTCGATGTATCGGAGGCGTGTTTCCAATTGAGATACGAATAGGGCTGTGTCAGTTACATCAGTACCCAAGCCAAGAAAAAGCGCGTTGGTAAGCTTATTGAATCCAGCATTGAGTGCAGCATTGAGATTTTGATGATCGATCTTAGTCTTCTTCTTCGACTTCTTCTTCGCCTTCTTCCTCATGGTCTTAACCATATCAGGATTCAAAACCTTGCAGACGGATTTTGAAAATCCGGTAACGAAACCATTTCCGAAGATGTAGCTTGAGCCGAAGGCGAGCGCATCACTCGTCTGAGGAACCTTTTTCATCTTCATCGAGGTCTCCAGGATATCTACACAGACACGAGCTGGGTAGCTTAAGGAGCTGTTTTGTCGGTGGCTGTAGAAAAATCTGACGTCATCCTCAGGGAGCAAGAGGGCAGCCAGGTACCCGCCGGCGCCTTCTCCTGGCAACTTGCCGACGGGAGTCATATCAGGCCAAAGCCCATAGTCTTTGGTTTCGAATGCACCCATCAACTCGACCAAGAGACTTTGTGCTGCCAGCCAGATAGCGGGGGTTTCGCCTAGAGGGGGATGTAACAACGATCTATACTCGATGCGCCAGTCGGGAAATGGTTCAAATAGACCTGATTCATCATGCTTTGCGCTGATTTTCCCTATGAGGGCGAAGACTGGCAGGACATTGCAGGCGAAGCGGATTATTTTCGTCATTCCAGATAGCAGGTGTGATTGAGAAGTTGAACGGGCGTGTTAACGCGGCGGAAATACAGAGCGGAACTTCGTATAAGAATACCGTTGACAATATATAGCTGTAGATTGTGTCATATGTGCAATAGGCTCTCATTTGAATCAATTATCGCTAGAAAGAACAGTGACGCAAGAGGTAGACGCATTAGACTTGTGGGTGTAATTATCTCAAATGCATCTGTCGTTTAAGGCATGCTCAGTAGACCCCATCTGGGACTAAAGATCTTTGTAATGAGAGTGACACGAATAGACCAGCCTTGACCGCTCATATTGAGGTACTTTACCAAGATAATGCATATACAATATGTGCATATAACAGCGCTCGAGCTGTAATCGCCAGTCGATTTGGTGGTGCAGGGTCGCCATTCTGTTGGTGTAGACCCACGTTGAGCGAAGAGGGTCATATGTGGAAACGTCATGGAAAGGAGGGAAGATACCAGGTGCTTATTGATCAAAAGCAGGGTCATGAATCCACTGCTATTATACTCCGCATTCACATCCTAGAGCTACAACACCATCCGGTAAACTCATGATTTACTCTAGGAGTAGCGAAGAGCGACTTGTATCACAAAATCAGTAGCATCTAGAACAGCAAATACGTACCAATGGGCTTTGAGACGCATCTCACGTATCGCGTATAGCCAGAACATACAAATTCGTCTCAACCGTTACTCGATGCATTTATTGAAATCACCATGGTGTGGGAAAAGGGAACAGTCCCCGCCGCACGGATCGGTGCAGGCGGAGGGTCAATGTGGGGAGGTCTTGGCATACTTACAGGTAGTACGTAAGTAGTCGCCCCTGAGTTCGGCACTTTGCTCACCGTGTCTCTGCATTCTCAGCCACGTCGTGTTGTCATCTTACATACTTTCAAGGCACGGGCATACGAGCTCGGAATCTTGAACCCGACATGGCGGATCATCCGCGCAAGCCATGAGTTATTTTGTCCTATTAGCTAGCTATGTGCGGTATCTAAAGTTCAGTCTCTCGAAGAGAAGTGAGCGGAAGAAGTGAACTATTGCCTGCGTCATGTTGTGTTTGAGCAGTTTGCCTTATTACAAATTCTAAGTCTCAGAGCCACCCTTCTACGCATCTGAGGACGGTGATGGGGATGGTGAAGGCGCGGCGGCTTGAGGTGTGCCTGGCCAACCCGCGTATTTACTATCTGGGTCCTCCACAGTACCTTCAGCAGTCCACTTCCCGACAGGAGACGTCCAATTCTGAATTGCATGAGGATCAATGCCCACGTCAATCGTTGCATACAACCCGTCCTCATAAGTTTTGCCAATCTTCGAGACCTTCATGAATGGGTTCTCAGTGTGATTAGCGTAGTAGATAAAGAGTGCATCCATGTCATTTCCAATTTGGTATTGCCTGTTCAAGGTGTAGGGATATATCTTGTTGAGATCGTTGATGAATTCCTGTTCAAAGTAAAATTGACCAACGTGGGTGATGGTACCGCCTTCGATAGTGTTGTTAGGAAGGAGTTTGGCGTGATGGTGAACGACAGCTAAGATCATTAGCGTTGGAATATGGAGGTGTAAATGGGTGTCTTACTGTGCAGATGATTTGTACGGCCACCATAGTATCCTGGAATGAGTGTGATGAAGGAAGCGGTGCCATCAACATTCGTCGGTTGTACACCACGCAGGGCATTTGAAGAAAGGTCCGAGGAGCCGTCGCCGTTGACAGCGGAGTGCACGCCGGAGTAGACACCAGTCGCGTTAGTTCCCCAAAGCTCTATATAAGCACCTTTGATAGGACTGCAATCCCGTACGTCGATCAAATTAATGTCGACATGTGCTTTAGGGCCTTCCTGACCAGACAAGATATTCTGCCGAACGAGTTCGCCGGAAATATCTCAAGATGCGTTAGCAGACACACTTTTCGTCTCCTGGATTGAGGAACTCACAGAAAGGGCCGTCAGTCTGCTCGATATCAAGCGTGCATGCGCCCTTTTTACCGTAGCTCAATTCCACTTCTACAGAGTCGCGACGAACCAACTCGTGTGCTTGTGCAAAGCCGGCTTCGACTCGCAGTTCATGAAGCCTGTCCTCGCGCCTTTGGTGCTGCTCTCTGACCCACCCAGAATCTACAAGACTACGCTTGCAATCTAGGATGCTTCGACGCTCCGGATGGTTGAGATGAGCATGTCTTCTCAAAATTTCCTTATGGATATCGCCGTGTGCGAATACATTAGAAGCCAAAAAGGCAGTGGTGAGAGCAGGTATAAGATGAACCATGGTGGCAGCGCAGGATCCGTAAAGGAAAGCAATCTTCCCTCCATTGTATCACTACGGAGTTTGGTTATTTATACGTCTCGTTCTCGGTGCGTTGTTGTCATTAAAGTTACGGAGGTGCAGATCTGTAATACCACCACCCCAGCATTCAATCCGTATTCCCTGTAGTGCTTACTCTTAGATGATCGTTGAGATCCAAGGCTGTAATCATCCTCACCGCAATTGGCAGCGGCAATTCCTCATTCCCATGCATGTCCAGCAACTATACTGTCGTTCTTTCAATATCTCGCCTCGGCAGTTGAGAATGTTGAGAGGCGTAACCCTAGTACACAGAATGCCCTAGGGAAATTGCTGACTATTGGGCATAAATGGGAGGCATCCGCTTAGTACTCGTAGTTGGACGCGGTCGCATAACTCCATTCATGGATCGGACGCTCATGCTGTAAAATGAACACGAATATGAATATACACATAAAGCTGCAAATATGCGTCCTGATTTCGCTGTTCGATGTATTAACCCTGCATCAGGAGCACCCCATGCGAGTCTGATGATTTTCACCAAAGTAACCCTTTCCAGCCGAGCCGGACCAAGCTGGCTATCAGGGGCATACTGGCGGTATACAACCAGGCAAGCTTACAGTCGAATGAGCATAGTGGTCTATATCAGAATTCTAATGGAAAAGGGGTGACTGAGAATACATGTAAGCATCCGGGTAATATGTGTCTCACTCGGCACAGCTCGTGTCAGTATGTGGACCGGGCTTGGAGTGCTGGCAGCTGTCGCGTTCGCTGTGGATAGATGTGAACCGTATTAGCTACTGTATAGAACTTGATTTTTGGGCTTTCGTCATTGAATGCAAAACACAATCAAGTCATGGATTTTGCCGATTACTTGTGCATTGGTAGGGTAAACACCCAATCACGAAGCGCATGGCGTACACGAGGACATGTAAGACTCACGCACGTCAACACCGAAAGTAAACTGTGAGAGTTACCGACCCATACTTCGGTCATCACCAGGTTTTCAAGAACACGGAAGTTTTTAACCTATCGTAATCAATGAATATGAGGAAGCTGGGATGACACTTCTCTGAAGGGGATAACCTGCTTGACTTTTTGTATATCCTTATGCAAATCTTCTTTTATTTGTCGGAAATCCAAATTCCGTGTCGGAATGTGCGATGAAAGACGTTGCTATCACCATCGCAACAAGTCTGATGCTTTGGTATGCTATTGAATGGGGATTATGACGTGACGATGAATGTTTCCCTTGAAACGTCAACAATAAAACCAGGTTGCGATCAGATCTGACCAACTTCCACTTATGTCCGAGATGACCTACATTCTTGTTTCTAACGGGAAAGTTGCGTCATGATAGATGCCGATGAACTAGTTTGGTGTTCAATGCGGTTGGAGAGTAGGTTGCTAGGCTGCAACCATGGACGGAGGAATGTTACTTATCACGTGACCTTACCTTTATGTAATTGTTCTTTCACCAATACTATTTTGAATTCACTCAAGTGCATATAGCTTGCATTTACAGTTGATGCCTAATTTGGTAATTTGATCGTATACATTCAGAAACCCACGACTCATGGTCGTCGCCCAGAATCAGGGTTCAAGGTAGCGGGAGTTAATTTCGATAAGCTTTGGACGTCGAGTTTCTTGGAGGAAATGTGAGAGAGTGACTCAATTTAGAATATCGAACATCACCATGTGATCTGAATTACTCAGAAACACAAGGAAGCTAGAGGTTGGGGATATTCAAGGCAAATAAAAAACGAGGCGTGGCTTTTCAGCGCCAATCAATAGAAGAGTCCTTACAGCATCTATTCCTTGTAATTTCATCTTGAAATCTAAGTACTGGATTTTATTTTCGCTCTGGGTTGATATTCTTCTGGTTCTTTGTTTCACTAGCGCTCGTCAGGTAGCTTTGCTGTCTCACCCGCTGATGGGACTGGGAATTCCATTCGCCAAAGGTGGCCTTTGGAGCCGACAAGCAAGATCGTATAGGCAATATTTCACTGAACATATAGTCAAAAAGCTTCGCCCAGGACTCACGCGACATTCCCGTTGGATGAAAGTTGGATGATCAAGTGAGAATCGTGAATCAAGGGACAAAACTACCAAGGAATAACCTTGAGGAACAAGCCGAACCTTGTCGCACGTACCACGAGAGACAGAGGACTCGTAAAAGGGCCAGGCTTCAGATCTTGGTTAAGCGAGAATTTATTTTGTAAAGGGCTTCAGCCTACTTGGTCTAGCCCTGGCGCCCTTGGGCCATGCTCGGTTCTTGCTCCTGAACGATTGTCGCTTATGACGCCATCGTATACTGTGGAAACGAGCAAAAAGAAATATTTGCATGCAGCTCTGGCAAAACAAGACATGGTGTACAAAAGCACTGTTGAACAAAAGAGCAACGACAGGTGCGCTCCTTACCCAGGTAGAAATAGCGCTGTTTCTAATTCGTCACTTGCTCGCGACTAGCCATTCCTTCGTCGCTGACTGAAACAGCAACACCCAACCACTGAAACACGCAACGCCAGGACAATCCCGACACCATTGTCTTATATTGTTTTATCTACCGTGTCGCGCTCTGGAGATGGCGCTATGCAGTGAAATAAAGCCTGAGAACCATCATCTGGCCAATAGCCATGCCAATAGCAGCGCCCGGTACGCTTCGGCGGCCATCAATAATCTTAACATCTTGCATGCTTACGAATAGAATGGCAGCAGTGTGAAGAGCCAGTGTGTGATGATTGCAAATAACCGAGGAAACATTGCTTCTTTCCTGAAACCTCGAAATAGCTATTGAAGGCTGCAGATGCCAATCTTTTCGCCTGTCACTGTTTCTCTTCCGTCTCCTTTTGTCTCTAAAATCGCCCCAGGCAATGGACATTCGCATCGACTCTGTGAATACTTCAAACCTCGACTATGCCAAATATCTCAATGACTCCAAATCCTCCAAGCACTCATCCAGCCACAAGGCAAATCTATCGGGCGCAACAATGCTTGACTTGCTTAGTGGCACTGAAGGTTCCATCGCTGCCGCGTATCAAACTTCGCATTCGAAGCCTCAGCCGTCGAGACCAGGGCGCCCTTCAGATGTCTCCTCAAGCAAGAATGAATTGCGACAAACAAATCGGATGCTGGTGGAAATAGTCCAGAACGCCCAATTGGAACTCGCGACGCAAAGACAAACGATGCTCGACATGCAATCGCGGATCCTCCAGCTCGAACATGTCTTGTACAAGAGTAACAGCAGCGCCCCAGAATCGTGCGCAAGCGGCGCCACCACTACCACCACACAACGAGTAGCTTCTCAAACCAAACCTGTAGAAGAGAAGATACTCGTCAATCCAGCAGCCCAACACCAAGCATCAGGCCTCTCCGTCACCCCTACCAACAAGCCCGAATTCTGGAAATCACCCAGCCGCTTCTCCGGCTTCAACTTCAACTTCGACCTCCTCGAAACCGTCCCAAGAAGTTCCAAACCGTCCCTGCAATCGCAAAAACAACAACAAAAACAGCATCGACAGCAAAGGCACCCCTCCGAAGCTCCAAAAGTCTACAAACCCTCCCGACCCCCAGCGCCTCCCTCCAAGTCCCCTCATAACACCACACAACAAGCTGCACCCCACAACCACCGCACTCTCACCAAAAAACCTTCAGAAGCAACACTACTCACCCGCCCAACCCCCGCCCACGACACAGTAAGCGACATAAAAGAGCAAATAGTCGAGTACGAACACGTCAAAATCCCTTTTCCACCACTCCTCCACTCGCCGCCCAAAACCGCGCGCAGTAGACTGGCGCCAACGGTGCAGAGCAGAGACGACGAGTTGACGGCGTTGCCGCAGATGCCGGAGCAGGTGCAGCCTGTGCAAGAGCAGGTGGCGGGGAAGGGGGCGAGGAGGGGGATAAAGAATATACTGATTAGCCGGCCTTTTTCGAGGAGTTTTAGGATTGATTGTGCGAATGGGCTGGAGAGGCGGGCAAGTCATTTTGGGGTACTTTCATGAGGAAAGAAGAGCCATGGGTGTTTTTTTTTCTTGGGATTTTGCGTATTGAGGTCCTAGGGACTTCCGCATTACTGTACTCTGCCATTTCCTTTGTTGTCATTGTTTTCTATGAGATGATATCGCTCAGGTAAGCGTGAATGCGGCGTGCCACAACTACACAGTCTGTTTCTTTTAGAGTATGTTTCAATTGTTTATTTCGTTTGTATTATATCATATCCAACTGAATGAGAGGAGTACTATACAGCCCAATCGCAAGGCTCATGACACAACTGTATCAAGACCAAAGAAGACTTCCATCATCAATGCGCAGCGAGTTATATACATATATCGCATGTTGTCCCTTTACTTCCTCCTGTTTTGCTGCATTCCGAGAATCTGCACCATACGAATGAAGATGTTGATGAAGTCCAACTCCAGTGAGATGGCCTCGTTTACAGGGTCCTTGGGAATCAAACCACGCTCGGCCATACGGGCATGGTTGAGCACCTTCTGCACATCGTATAGAGTAAATCCACCAAAGACGGCAAGACCACCGTACAACCAGATGTTCTCGGTGAACATCAGAGTGCGGGCAGCGGTAGCAGGGACAACCATGGGAGCGAGACCAGAAAGCGCGACGATGGCGACACCAGCGAGAAGAGGACCACCGAGGTACATGTACTTGTCCGTCTTTGCAGTAGCACCGACGAATGCGAGGGATCCCATCATTCCAGCAGTGTAGAGTCCAGCGCGAGCGAGGATGGCGGGGTGCATGAAGAAAAGCGGCGACAAGAGGAGGGCTTGGGTGCCATTGAAAGCGGTCCAGAGGGCATACTTTTGCACGTAGCTAAGATTGGTCAGTAAATTCGTCTGCCAAAGTCTATGCTGGTTGGCGGATACTTACTTGCTTGGGTGTGTTGCCATAGTGCCATACATAGTTCCGATGCTGCCAACAAGTCCGACACCCAGCACCAGCCATGGGTTCGCGCTCATGAGCCTGAAACTCCAGCCGTTCATGTGCAGGGCGCGTGCAGCAATGCCAATGATTCCAACACCAAGACCAGTGTGCAAAAATGTGTCGTTGAGGTACTCGCGCTCAAACGGCGGCATGCCGCCATCTTCCCGGGTTTCGCGGTTAAAGATAAGGTTGATGCCTAGCAGTGTGGCGCCGAAGATGCCAGCGCCGTAGAGCAAACGCTGTCGCAAATCTCCCTGAGCGACCGGGTTGTATGCGGCTTGCTGGTAACCCCTTCTGAAAGCTTGCTGGAACTTGGATACATTCTGCGAAGTTGATATCGTAGGCTTTGCTGGGCGGAAGAAATGCGGATGTTGCTTCAGTGGCGTATTGTGAAAAGCGCGGATCGAGAGGGTTTGTGGTGAACTATGCGTTGCTTGTCGCAATGTCGCCGTAATGGCGAACGGTCTCCGTAGGAGCGATGCCATTGTCGTGATGTGTCTTCAGCAGTGTTGGTGGTGGTGGTACAATGGCGAGCGGCGGATATGGTGATATAGGCAGACGAGTTGATGACGTTTTGCTGGTGGAAAGCGCGAGAAATGCCAAGCCCGCCTTAACTCCGAGGGAATCTTCAAGCCCCTCCCCCGCCACATTGATGAGACATCGAACAACATCAGTGATAGACACGAGTTGATCTTCGCTATTCTAAGGGAATCTCCTATCGCGATCAAAATGTATCGTTGACCTCGATTCTGTCCCGAGTCACAAAATTCTGAACATTCTTAAGTGTATCTCCCCTACTCACTCTCAGGAACACTGCTCAGCAATAATACCGTCATCATTCTCGCAGTCATCGTAATGTGTCAGAGCATGCTTCCGAAACCCAGTAATTGTGTTGGGACATGATCTGGCTGACCGCGGTGACTATGTAGCGATTGCAACATTTTCATTATGACGAAAGTGATTACTTCCAATTATCCTGGTCTTATTTCTTTGTATACCATATCTATCTCTAATGATTAATCATATAGATTTGGTTATGTTATTTTCCTTATAGTTAATTATTGAAATCAGTAAGTACTCTGAACTACTGTATAGTCGTATAGTGGTAACCACGGCGGAAACCAGTAGAGTAAAATGAATGAATAAATGATCATACCGGCAACCAAGCCGTTCAACCATCTGAGTGCTATATTCAGAAGCCTATGAGATGTTATGTTCTAGATGAGCATTTTCGTACTTGTTCGATACAAAATTGATTGTGAGTGTAATATGACAATTTGACTTTGTGCTCAACACCTTTCCCACGCACCGTTCAGCCAGGAAACTCAATCTAGAAATCGGCATTTCCACATCAACAACCATGTATTTCGAGCTGCTCACGGAGATAAAAGACTCTTTATCGCGGATTGATGACTTCATCAAGGATGGGATCGTGTCGTTGCAACATAAGGACGACAACATTTGGTTTTTTGACCTCCGCCAGGAAGCTTCAAGGACTCAATGGAGCAACCAAGGCTTGCCGAATGAAGATAGGAGACTTTGCTTCGACAAGTGAAAGACCTTGCCAAACAAGCAGGCTTTTATCGATTTGCAAGCCCAAAGGAGTTCGGTGGTGCTGACAGCCAGATACAAAATCTCTACATGTGCGCTATTCGCTATCATCTCACTTCAAATCACTGAGGTGGCCTGAATCCGACCAACGATCGATAGAGCGAGCACAGAATCGTGGGCAACAATCCTTTTGTTCTCATGATGTACCACTGCGACACCCAAGAGCCAAAAGAGGCACTCATCCCAGCTATTTCTGTTATGATGCACGTTATTTCTCATCTACAATTACACCCCTATCCGATATATGTGATTTCACAGTATCCAAACGTAGCTCCAACATGATTTGATTATTAAACAAGGTTGAACTAAACTCAAGGTTATATACTTACGACATCCCGAGGGCCGAGGACTTCATTGACATTGTCCGATAGGGTAAGATATCACCCGGCAAACCAATTAATCCTCGTATAGCATAACAATCATAAACTTAGGAGCGCCGCTTGCGCTTGCGGATAATGAGAACGCCCGGTTTAGTGTGACGCATAGGAGATTCGACGATTATGAGGCTTATGATGCCGAGTTGGTGCAGAACTCGTGTCAATTACAGACTCAAAGTGAAACATCAACCAATGCATTAGTATGTTTGGAAAGAAAATCCTGCATTCAAGAGTTATCACAAGGCGCCCGTCAGCAAAGTTGTTTCAACCTTTGTCCAACATCTTCATAAGAATGAGCTGGAGTTACAACAGGATAGTTAATTTGCACCAAAGAAATTTTGCACCATATGTAACACCAAAAAATCATTTTGGCATAAGCTAGAATGACAAGGGTGTGATGATAATTTGTGCAAAAAATTTGTCCTGTTAAATATGCTACGTTATCCCAATTAATAAGTATGCATTCCACATATGAATTGCTTACAATATGACTCTAAGCTCAATTTTATCTCAATGAACAGTTGTATTGACGTAGGAGGATGAGAAGCAAGGTCATTTAAACACTAAGAACGTTGTCATAGAACAGGAGCAACTTCTACGCCTTCCAGATCGTCATTTTGACGCCAATTCTCAAGAATATTATCATAATCTTCCTGCCCCTTACCCCAACTACAACTATGAGCCATTCTAGAGAGTTTATCGGGGTCTTCGAGGCTGTCAAACTCTCCCTCAACGTTGATGTAACTGGGAGTGCAGCCTGCTGATGCTCCAAACTTGTGAGCCTGCGATGCAACCTTCTTCGACCACTCCTCTTCGGCTTCTTCAGTAGTTTCTATGGTAAAATTGTACTTGTATGGCGAATGAGTCGCTTGAACAGATGAAGTTTGAGCTCGGCCAGTAGCTAGGAGGTAGGCAACGTGTTTCGCCGATTGACTGGCGATATAGGCATAATTGGGGTGACCACCGGACTGGATAATCCGGGCCAAACATGTTTGGGAAGCTGCCGCTCATCATCCTGTGCAGCGTAGTCGCGGCATAACTCCACTTTTTCTCGAGGTCCTCCCCGTTGCAGAAACCATCCGAAATTGATCAAAGTATCTTCCTATATCTACCATCTGTTACGAAGGAAATTAGCAGCTTCAGCAATCGTCTTGTCAGCCTCAGGTGCTCTTCCAGCCATCATGACCCAAATATGCTCCATATCTTTCACTATCTCCAACCGCACTTCGACTTTTGCAGACCTGGCATGTTCCGTCAGCTGCAAAGCCTCTTTTTCATGGATTTCTTCGGTTCCGGCTGTTATATACATTGGAGGAAGACCCGTAAAATCGGCATGGAGCAGATCTATTAGAGGGTCCGAGATGGGGGCGTTTCCAACGTATGCTCCGGCAACAAGCCCTATAGCTTCGGGTATTACAAACGACTGTTTGGTTGAATCTCTATCATAGCTTTCGGCATTCATGGTTACATCAAACCACGGAGAGAATGCGACGATGGCAGCTGGAAGATCAAGACCTAGATTCTTAGCCATTAAGATGGACGATATCGTCAAGCTTCCGCCAGCTGAGTTCCCAGCGAATACGATATTTTGCTTGAGATTTTCTTATCCGTCATAAACCACTTGTGTGCAGCAATTACATCTTCTTGTTTGGGAAATCGATTCTCTGGAGCTCGTTCATAGTCCAGAACCAGAGCGTGACATCCAGAAGTCTTGGCGAGATGTCCGGCTAGCTTGCGGTGGCTAGATGGAGATCCGGTGACGAATCCTCCGCCGTGTAGGTAGAGAATAACACGTGAGGCCGAGGCTTCCTTTGGCTTGCACCAGATTGCCGGCCTGACCGTTCCTGGGCAGTTGACATCTTCGTATGTGACATCTGTTGGCTCTGCGCTAATGGTTCCTAGCTCTTCTAGTATTACACGAAATAGGTCGGTAGTAAGCGGCGCTAGATCAAAGAGTCGTTTCATACCCATATAGCATTCTGTGAGAGCCCGGGACTCTTCGGAGGTCATCCTGAATATCAAGTTTAGGAAGAATGTGATATTTCTGGAGATTATTGGTAGTCAAATCTCTCTCTTGAGGCAGGAAATGGATTGAGAAAACTCATGACCATATCCATATGTAGGTTTTGATGATACAGAAACTCTTATACAAGTTGGCCAGGAATGCGGCCGAGGCTAAGTCTGCATGCAACTTCGTTAGGCCAATCCATTCAGTGACCGAGGGTTGCGATCTACCCGGAGATACAGAAACAGCTATCTGATAGCCGAAATGCCAATAACCGACCGCTTCTGGCTGTTTGAATAAGATAAAAACATTAAATAGCTGTTTAGGGTGATTGAAAGTGGGCTGCACAGGATGCCGAGGAACTACCAGGGATTTGTAATGCTGTTACACAAACGCTAGTGGTACGGAATAAAAGCTGCCCCAAGTCTAAAGTGACATTTCCATACAATCAGCATTCAGAAGTTGATTCCCAATCGTTTCGTCTATTACCATTGCACTTCTCCACGACTTTTTTCGTCATGGTATCTACACGTGATGCGATGAACGGAGACCCTGAAACAAGAAACGTCGACATTCTCATTATCGGCGCAGGTTTCGGCGGATGCTACAGTCTTTTCAAATTCCGCAATCTAGGACTCAAGGTCCACGTCTTCGAAGCAGGCTCATCTCTCGGGGGAGTTTGGCACTGGAATAGTTACCCTGGAGCTCGCGTCGACTCCGAGATACCCTACTACCAGTTTTCCATGCCCCAAGTATGGCGAAAATGGAACTGGTCTGAAAGATTTCCCGGCGGAGCTGAATTGAAGGCATACTTCGAACATGTAGACCAGACTCTAGGTTTGGCCCAAGATATCACCTTCAATGCCATTGTCACGAGAGCTGTATACGATGAATCAAGCTGCAGGTGGACAGTGACGACAGAGAAAGGCCACAAAGCGATATGCAAGTACCTCGTTTGCGCTACTGGAAGCTCTTTCAAACCTTACTATCCCAACTTCAACAACTTACACCGATTTCGGGGACAGCTAGTTCACTCGTGCCGGTGGTCAAAGGAAGTCAACACCAAGAATGTCCGTGTCGCCATCATTGGGTCCGGAGCTACAGCAGTCCAGTGCACACAGGAGATCGCAAAACAGGCACGACATCTAACCGTGTACATCCGCACTCCCAGTATCTCGCTACCCATGTTCCAACGTCCATTGAGCGAATTCGAACAACGCGTGAACAAATCCGCATACAGACACCTATTCGAATACTGCCGAAAAACAAAGTTTGGTCTCGGATACGACGCTATCTCTGGTTCCGTGTTCGACGTAGACGATCAGCAACGAGAGGAGATTTTCGAGGAGACGTGGAATCGCGGCGGCTTCAACTTCCTCCAAGGAAACTATCGCGACTACGTGGTCAACAAAGAAGCTGGGAAGTTGATGTACGACTTCTGGGCCAGGAAGACACGCCCACGAGTCAAAAATCAAGCCAAAGCGGCGTTCCTTGTTCCGGAAAAAGCACCCTTTGTGTTTGGAACGAAACGGAGTAGTCTGGAACAGGATTATTACGAGTGTCTGGATCGGGATAATGTTGATATTGTGGATCTCAAGTCAAATCCGATACGGGAGTTTACAGAAGATGGAATTGTGACGCAGGATGGCCAGAAACACGAGTGTGATACAGTCGTCATGGCCACCGGCTTCGACGCTATGACGGGAAGTCTCACGAACATGAATATCATTGGTAGGGATGGATTAACCTTTCGAGAACGATGGAAAGATGGCGTATTCACGCATCTCGGATTGTGCAGCAGCGGCTGTCCAAATATGTTCATGATCTATGGACCTCAAGGTATAGGCCTCTCCCATGTATCTACTTTGAACCAACAGCGCTAACGGCAGATACAGCACCGACCGCCTTTACCAATGGCCCTGTATTCATTGAGAGTCAGGTTGATATAGTCGCGGATCTGATACAGAAAATGGAGGCTAGTGGTATTAAATCGATCGAAGCGAAGCGGGACGCTGAATTGCGGTGGAAACAAGGGATCCAAGACGCAAACGATCAAACCTTGATACCACTTACCGACTCGTGGTGGATGGGGGCAAATGTACCTGGAAAGAAACGAGAACAACTGAATTATATAGGGGGCATTGATAAGTACGAAAGAGAGTGTCGGCAGACCTTAGAGGAATTGACAGGCTTCCAAGTTGAATATCATGCCAAACATAATTTATAGACAACACAGCAATATGATTTCTTACCAACTTATTTCCAACGAGTAAATATGTTCTGGATGTTAAGATTGCCGCCTTCCTATCGCATGAAAAGTCACCACCCAAGTATATGGCACCACTTACTGATCGAAAATCAAAAATATACAACACTTGTACAGCTGCTATTATAAAACATTAGCACAATTAGTACGAAACATCTCCGATACACAAAGATATCCTGGTAGGAAAGAATGAAGAACCGAAACGTGTACTCGCCCGCGCCTCATCGAGTCTTAGTGTCTTCGAAATACATGCAACTCACCAAAAAAATTAAGAAGATGCATGTCTGGCTGATAGGCCAGCTTGCAGTTACGAGTTGGGTCTTCGTCGAGGGACTCTTTGAAGCTTGGGGTGCGGGAATGCGAGGCGATATCTGCGTTATGTAGCTACAGTCGATCATCCAAGAAAGGTGCGCATAGACACTGGTGCCTTCTCTAGCAGCAGATGTTCGTGTTAAAGTATGTTTGGGTCGATCCTGTTGATCGTATGCAAGTAGTGCGGGTTGATGCACGGGTCAATGCGGTGTTGCCTGAAGATCGGCGAGGCTATCTGAACGTCAAAGAGGTGACCTTTTATGGGAGTATTGGCCAGTAAGCGCTTGTGGTAAGCAATGCCGTTGCGCAACAGCTGACTGATGATGCGTATGAAGTGTCGCAGCTGCGGCTCCAAGATGACATGCAAGTGTCAGCAACGGTTTCCATGCAGTAATACTCCAGCTGTACATATGGCCCTACGACGTTGCATGAAGTCCCGAACTGGCAACTTGCAGAATCGACCGCACCGAAAGCCGGCATAACCCTGTAAAGCTCTTTCAGAGAAGCCAGGGAAGTCATAACAAGGAAAGACTCGCGGTGCCTTGCTGACAACTCCACCTGTCCATCAACAGATGTCAGCCGCCGACGTTACATGCGCCAACTTCTTACTGCAGTCAACGATATCAGAGATACTATCGGTGCTCGTGGCCTCTTCTTAAGAAAAAAGTTAGGTTGGTCCCGAACACAAGACGCTCAGATTATCATGCGCCCTTCGCAAAGTAAGCATTATGCTGGCTCACCCTTCATAAGACCGTGAGATCACTCATGGTCCCAGCGATACCTTTATCTCTTTTGAACCGAAGTCCTGGATCCTTGCGAAGCGGACGCGCCATTGGAGTTTTACAGAGCGGATAGATAGAATTGGCGAGCTGCTGGTGATCTCCAAGACCAAGTGCAATGCATTACCTGGGGATCTCAGTTTACACCTCGTGGTAGCGAACCCAAACCAGAGGTCGTGTGCGACGGTGTGGGATGTGAGATAGAATGAGAAGAGAAAGGGATTTTTCGAGGGAGGTAGGGGCAAGGCGAGGTGGAAGAAGAAGGTCAGGCCTAATGTGTGAGGGTGATGAATGATTGTTGCCCTTGTGATGTCTGGAAACAGATGACAGATAGTCAATATTGGCCAGCCAAGAGTGAAGGCGTATAGCAATGCGTAGTAATGTGGAGTGACGGCTTCATCACAATGATTCCATAGGGTGGGTTCAATGAAGTGGGCTTCGTAAGCATGTCTTCGGTCCTTTTGAACCGTAGTTTCCGAATTGCTCCTTGGTGAATGTATGCCAAGGTAGTCGGAGCCGGATGAAGTCGAACGTGTCTCCAGGAATATCAAATCACCATGACACGCTACTATACGCTGGTCAGTGAGCCGCATTCTTGGTAGTAGTTTAATGGCTTTGATCCAATCGTTGGCGCCTCAAGTTTTCCTGATACGTGTTAATGGCCTCATTCTGTGGCGCACCGCCGGTGATGGGCTGGATAGATATCGCCCAGAAGAAGAGATATCGGAACGTGTGCAGACAATGCCTGTCGGATGTAGCCGTACAGCCGCACAGAATTGCGGCCGCGGTCAGAAAGGATCGGCATGTTTGACAAAACACAAAACAGTAGCATACATAACTAGCAGATATGCAGGGTGAAGAACCATCGGGTACATTCGCGGGCCATGTGATTGGTTTCCGTTTCAGGATCCATGGTCGGCATGTTTGCCGCCCCCATGTGTACCCACTCTGCCTAGAATCTTGGAACTATAGGTTGGTGTGTTAACGGCTAACGCTGGGATTAGGGTTTGACTATGGTATTCGTGGTATTAGGTCCTTCTGCTTTGGGCAAACACGCGTTGATACGCCTTCCGGTGAAACCTTTTGGGCGGGGTCGGTCGTCTATCTGGCTTGCAGTGTTTCTACCGACCAGGTAAAGCTGTTTGTGTGCCATGTTCTGTGTTCCAAAAAAACGTGGAGGAAGGATCAGGGGCCAGCTCGGCACGTGTAATGGGGGGGTCTGCCTCTAGCCGTTTGCATAACCAAGCAAGTAAGCCACAGGGCTCCGGGATCGGATGACGGTTGTGGGGTCTTTTCAGCGGCACTCAGTAGACCGATGCGAGCAAGACCGATAATACTGAGGAGTGGGAGGGCTAGGATCGGCATGTGATGTTGGTGTGATGGTGCAAAGGATTGTGCACGAGAGAGGTGGGCGCCTTGCCTCATCCAAACGTTTTCGCCGCTGCCGTCATGTATCACTTACGCGATTCCTAATCCCGTTCCCCAGCATGCACGATTCATTCTCGGCGTTTGTGCGCGCAGCAAGAAACCAGATCAGACCATATCCCGCACACCTACACAGCCAAGGCTCTTTGCCTCCCCACCTGGAGTGCGCAAAAACTTCGACAGTGCAAGGCCCGCAACCCACTCCACTGGGCTTTGGAGCAGCGCTCGAGGGACCATGTGACGTTCAGAAGACCCGGCTCCCAGGATGCGACGGGGTTGTATGTCCACACACCGCCAGCGTTAGGCGTGCTCTAGAAGAAGAGAATGGGAATCGCTAGACGTTGCTCAGACGTGGTCGGACAGGCCGCCCAACGAACGATGGGCGTCGAAAGAAGCCCACTCAAGAAGGCTGGGCTGACGGCGAAGCATCTTGGCTGTCGCATACGCCGCTCCCCATCTTGGCCTCAACGAGGTGGTGAAAAGCTTCGGCGCTGGCGGCGGCACGGCTTGACTGCGGGGTTTGCTCGCCAAGTTTTGTGGCTGCTTCACCGGCCTGAAGCTTCTTTGTGAGAAGAGATGGCGACAAGCCTCCGCGGCGCCATGAGAGCTTGTGTGGGCTCAAGCATCCAGAGTCTCTTTTCTTTGCCGTGGTCGGGCCTGGTGTTGTTGCGCCGCTCTGGCTCCAGTATGGTTGTGCTTGCAGCTGTCCCGCAAAGTTACCGCCGTGCGGGAGACGCGAAGGAAAAAGTCCCCCGTGGGGAAAAAACACAACGGCGTCTGGCATGGGCAAGATCAGCACACCCACCCAGCACCCACTTGTTTTTCTCCGCGCCGTCTCGAGAGCCTTTGCACACTGACGATGAGATCCCGGGTCAATGTCTGTTCCCTCACTCGCGCTGGCGCCGTCGCCGGGCCCACCTGGAGTTGCTTAGCGCGATATGGCGTCCTTGGCTGCCCCGACGCGGTTACATCCACTGTCCATCCCCCAACAACCACTGCACACGCGCTCTTGGCTCTTCTTGGCCCGTATCAAGGTCCAGTGGCTGACTGACCAGGGCATCGATAGCACCGTTGCAAGGGCATACACTGCTGCTGCAAGACACTCCAAAAAGTATATATTCGACTTCCCCGCGTCCAGCAATGGGGTCATCACTGCGATCGGACTCGTGCCTACTATCAAAAGGCAGTCCTCCTCTTCTCCTACTGCCTTGAAATCCACCCTAGAGTCTCCTCAGTCCTCTACATCATGGCGACCGCAAACCGCCCTGCTGACCCGCTGGCCAAGGGCATCATCCCCACTGCCAAACAGAGTTTGAAAGACCTCTTCACCTGGGACCAGCGCATCGTCGTCACAAACGACTATGGCGAGGAGCACTGCGAGTGGCAGAGGCCAGAGCCTCTCAAGAACCCCATTAGTCTCTTCGCCCAGCTTGGCTGGAAGGACTGGCTGTACTTCCTGGTTGGATTCCTTGCCTGGACAGCTGATGCTTTCGACTTCCACGCTCTCTCCATCCAGACCACCAAGCTTGCCAAATACTACCACACGACCAACACTGCCATCACAACTGCCATCACCTTGACACTGCTCCTCCGCTCCGTCGGTGCTGCCATGTTCGGTGTAGCCGGAGACAAGTTTGGTCGCAAGTGGCCCATGGTCCTCAACATGATCATTCTCGGTCTGCTCCAGGTCGCTACCATCTACGCTGGTACCTTCCAGCAGTTTTTGGCTGTCCGCAGTCTGTTCGGTCTCTTCATGGGAGGTGTTTACGGAAACGCCATCTCCATGGCCCTCGAGAACTGCCCGTAAGTTTAAAAGTGATATTGGTATACACTTCAAATACTAACTTTCTCAGTCTCGATGCTCGTGGTCTTATGAGTGGTATCCTCCAGCAAGGATACTCATTCGGTTATGTCCTCGCGGCCTGTGCCAACTTGGGTGTCGGAGGCGCGACCAACACCTGGAAGATTGTCTTTTGGGTCGGTGCCGGTTTCTCCATTGCTGTCGGTTTTGTCCGCGTCCTCTTCCCTGAGTCGAAGCAATTCCTTGAGGCCAAGCGATCCGGCCAGAAGAAGGCTCCTGGCGCTTTCTGGGCTGAGACTAAGCTTATGCTCAAGAAGGAGTGGAAGATGTGCATTTACTGCATCATCCTCATGACCTGGTTCAACTACTACTCCCACACCAGCCAGGACAGCTATACCACCTTCATGAAGGAGCAGAAGCACCTCAGCGCCGCCGGTGCTACCCGCGCCTCCATCCTCATGAAGACTGGTGCTTGCGTCGGTGGAACTATTCTCGGATACACCTCCCAATGGTTCGGTCGCCGCCGAATGATCGTCTGCGCTGTCTTGATCTCCGGATGCCTCATCCCAGCCTGGATCCTCCCCACCACCGAGCGCGGCCTCTCAGCCTCCGGCTTCATGATCCAGTTCTTCGTCCAGGGCGCCTGGGGTGTCATTCCCATCCACCTGAGCGAACTTTCACCCCCTGCCTTCCGCTCTTCCTTTGTCGGTATCACCTACCAACTCGGAAACATGATCTCCTCGCCTTCCGCCCAAATCGTCAACGCCGTTGCTGAAGCCACCATCATCAAGACCGCAAAGGGCGAGCCATCTCCCGCCTACGGCCCCGTCATGGGCGTCGCTACTGCCATTATTGTTCTCGGCATTGCCGTCACTACCGCTCTTGGCCCCGAGAAGAAGGGTCGCCACTTTGAAGAGGCCGGTCCTATTGGCGCGAACATCACGGCTCCCAAGGACATCGAAACTGGCAGCATCCACAGCGAGAAGAACGGCGCAAAGGCCGTCGAGGTTATTGACAACTCGGAGAAGAACGAGAAGATTTAATGGGTTAAATGCGCTATGTATGTGTGACAGGTTTCCACAAAACTTACTTGATACCACTATTCGGTCACTGGAAGGACCGGAGATATGACTGTAACGAAAGCAATGCAAATGATTTGAAATATTAAACCTGCCTCTTTGCTTCCTCCAAACCCCCTCGTGAACTATGCACTTGTGAAATCACTTTCGCTATCCCGTTCTTACCTCCTACCACCCTAATCCAACCTCTTCTCTACCAACTCAGAAATTTCTACTACTCGTATACTGCATTTCACAACTACCGTCCGCCAAGCGCCACCACTCCCTCACCCACTTCCTTCGCGCGCCCCCCAAAGCCACCATCCCCACCACCATCCCGTGGAAGCACAGCAGAGCCGCAACAAAACCCTTTGGGGCCCCCCATCCCAAGATCGCCAAGCGACGCACGTGCGGACTTGGACAGTGGAGTCCTGGAATCCTTTGCCATCGTGGCCTGATGTTAGCTTCTGAGCTTCTGGGCGAGGCTCTGCGGGTCTTGGGATTCATTGCGCAGTGGGTCCACTTCACCACCACCCCCATGAATAGTGTAGTGGTAGATAGTGGGGGGTGGGGTGTGTGTGTGTGTGTGGTAACCTAGATTGGGTATCCCGGGCTCGATGCGAGGGATTCTTGGTCTGGATCTGGTTCTTTTTTGTTTTTTGAATTTTTTTCGTGGGGGGGTGTGCGGAGGGGTGGAGGGATGGAGGGAAGGGTGGGAGTTAGTGGTTTCAATTGTATGGATGTGCATGTAGGTACAGCGCGTGTAGTATGGAAAGGTTGGGTCGGCTGGGACGGGTCGTAAGTAGGTTTTGTTGCGCGCATGCGCGCGTACCAAGGTGCGTGGAGTGGGGAAGCTGCAAGGGGTTAAGGGATGATGTGTTAGACTTTGCTTTTGCGGAGAGTGCGGGTGCCAGTGTCTTTTTTTGTTTTTTTAAATATTGTTTAAAGATGGGTAGATGTTCTGCTATGGGATGGTCATCGAGCCAGTTGGAGGCCGCTGTCACGTGTCCTTGTGAAGTGGGCTTGGCGTGCTGTGCTAAGAATGGGGGCCAAATCTGCCAGCCTGTCTTGCTTTCTCTTATCTCTACGCCGCACGTGCATTTCATTGCCTGCCATGTCTGAACTAAAGAATACTGCACATCCGGGCCGAATTGTTTCTATGCAAAGCCACAGCGGCATTGTATCTTATACTCTCACTCACTCACTCAAATGAAGGCTGAAGATACTGTTGATATCTGACAAGGCAAATTTCTCTCAATCAAGCATGAGCATGATTGGCCAGGCGCAACAGCCAGCGCCCAGGAAACATAGGTGGCGTAACCCGCAGGAGCATGCATCTGTATTACCCCTCAACAGTGCACAAGAGCTCAGCCTTGTCGAGATGCAACTTCCAACTAACTTTCCACCCACCCTCTGAATTTTTCGTGAAAAAAAAAACGTCACGTTAACTACTTCTGTCTTTATTAGCCATGGAAGTTGCTGGTCTTGCCATCGGTACTGTTGCACTTGTTGGTGTCTTCGGTGACTGTGTAGAGCTCTTATCATACATCGGAGCAGCAAAGTCAATGGACCAAGATTACGCCGTGCTGGCAACGAGGCTCGATATCCAGAAAGTGCTTCTGCACCAATGGGCCAACAGGATGAATCTTTTCGATCCCAAACACTATGACAAGCGACTTGATGACCCTGAAATTGGGCCTCTCATCTCTCAAGGTTTGGATTGCATCCGTCAGCTGCTACAAGACGGCCAAAAACTCGAGAAACGATACGGTGTTAGACCAGCCAGGATTCATGAATCAATCGAACCGCCGACAGCTCTCAGTGATCGGCTCATGTCACAATTCAGTTCAATGACACGCAAACTTCGATCTCGTCGCGACGTTCAGTCACTCCAGCTATACCAAGCTGTACAATCTGGTCCATTTCCAGGCGAGCGTCATAACACTCAACACATTGTTGTTGACAAGGTTAGATGGATTATCAAAGATAAAGAACAGTTCGAAGGCCTCGTCCAGAGCTTAGCAGATCTGATTGCCGACATCAACGCAGTCATACCTCCACAAAGTGGCGATTCCACCAATATTGCACTGCAACACGAAATAACCAATTTGAGTTCCGTCAGTGAGCTAAGGGCTATCAAGAGTGCTTTGCCGAATGAAGATATCAACATCACTTCTGAGGTAGAAACGGCCATTGATCAGGAGTGTGCCAAATTAATTCTCAATCGCCTCTGGTTCCGCTTGATCGATGACAGAAAAGACAGCATTTCTGAGGCATATTCCGAGACTTTCAAATGGGCACTCGAGCCTACTGATCCTGACAGCAATTGGAGCGACTTGGGTCAATGGCTTCGATCCGGAGCTGGTATATACTGGATCTCTGGTAAACCTGGAAGCGGAAAATCCACATTGATGAAATACCTCTTTGAGAACTCCAAAGCCCCAGAACTACTGAAAATATGGGCAGGGAGTCGGAAATTGACCATGGCTAACTTTTTCCTGTGGAACGTTGGATCCCCCGAGCAAAACACCCTCAATGGTCTGGCCAGAGGTCTTTTGTACCATGTTCTGGAGGAAAATCAGTCACTCATTCCATTTGTTATTCCAAACATGTGGCAGGAGGCTCAGAGCGGTATCAAGGACTTGAAGCTCCCTTCAAGCACTGAACTAAACCGGGCATTCCAGCAACTTGGCAAAGCATCGACACGAGGGGCATTCGCTTTCTTCATTGACGGTATCGACGAGTTCAAGGGCAGCCATCGAGAAGGCATATCATTTATTCAGAAACTTGCTACTAGCGCGCACATAAAAATTCTGCTTTCAAGCCGGCCTATCGACACGTGTGTTGCAGCCTTCTGCACAAGACCTCAGCTGAGACTACACGATCTGACAAAGCGAGATATTGAAAAATATGTCAACGACACAATCCGGTCCTATCTTGACCGAAATGCAGATAGCTATCTTTACGAAGCCGATGTCCAGGAATTGATTGTAATTCTACAACACAAAGCGGAAGGTGTATTTCTCTGGGTTGTACTTGCTTGTCGCAGACTATTTGACCACTTTGACGCCTACGACATGGCGGAGGAGATCCAGCGGACAGTTGACCAGCTACCACTAGAACTCGAGGATCTTTTCCGCAGCATAATTGAGGATATACCACAGGGGGTCCGGCAACAAGCATCGAAATTGC